GTCCTGGTGGGTAATTGTCCTGGTGAGTAATTGTCCAAGGGTAATTGTCCTGGTGGGTAATTGTCCTGGTGAGTAATTGTCCGGGGGTAGTTGTCCTGGTGGGTAATTGTCCTGGTGGGTAATTGTCTGGGTGGTTAATTGTCCGGGTGGGTAATCGTCCGGGTGGGTAATTGTCCTGGTGGGTAATTGTCCGGGGGGTAATTGTCTAGGGGGTAGTTGTCCTAGAATCGACTCTCTATACAAATTCTACAGGTTATGTCGATCGCTCGAAAAGTGGTTAAGTTTTCAACTATAACAGTTGGAAGCAAACTTTTGTGTTTATCCGAGGGCCGTGCTAACCCTAACCCGGATCATAACCCTAATCCTAACACTAGTGCTGCCACGTTGCGAGACTGTCACTCCACGCCCGGGGGATAGCAACACCCCTCCCGATGCCCTTGTCACAAGCTCGATATACATGCAGCGAACCGTCGATCGTGTACCAGTCTATGTTTACGTCAGTGCACGTACTCGTTCCGAGCAGTGGTTCCGAGGCCCTTGTCAGAAGCTCGATATATATGCAGCCTGCGGAGTTTGGGGTCGGTACCAGTCTATAACCTTTTTGCACATAATAAGCCACTTCGTAGTTACGCATTGAGCATGCGCGGGATTCTGGCGTGAAATTTTTCCAAAAGGTCAATTGTACATAAAACCGCTCGCTGGGTCTCCGTGACGTGTGATAGCATATTAGCAAGTGGAACCGTACGTACTGTATTTGTCCAAGTTTGAAATAAAATCACATTGAACTAAGATTTGCCCAATATAGAATGTGTGTAAACTTCATTTATACATGCAGAACAAATACATGTTATTTGTTCAATTTTGTTGTCTGTTACTAAGTTGATAAATGGAAAAATGCTTGGTTATAATTGAGATTATGTCTTTTAGGTATAGGCATAAATGTTTATAAAAGACCCATGGAATGATTTCAGCACTAATTATGCCAATAACGTAAAGATGCATGTGTGAACAATTTTCGAGTTTACCTAGTTGTAGTTGTAGTAGCTATTTTTACACTAGCTCCAAGAAACGGTATTGCTAGGGTTAGAATACCGTATACTGTAGTTATATAGTTATATAGTAACTATATACTGTAGTTATTATAGCTATAGTATAGCTTATATACTTATATATTATACTATTAAGTATTATACTTATAGCTATACGTTAGACGTTAGTCACACAGCCTGGTCGGGATAGTTTACGACATACACAAACTGTGCGTTTTTTGGTACAAATTCGAACCGCTACTTTTACTACTCTACGTTTACTTCTATACTTGCAATTATCTCCTTTGTCTCTAATACCATGTGCTTGTGTGTCTGCTCTCTGCTGCTCGAAGCTTTTGGCATAGAAGATGACGCATCAGTCACTTTGAGTCAGTTATTTAGTGAGTGAATTGCAATTTCTGTTTCGTGTTTACGTTTGTCAAGTACAAGTTTATTCCGTCCAACTCCGCGCGGTGGCGCTGTGTAGATGAACAAGAGAGCAGTTTACCTTTAATAATGGCAGAGCAAAGTACGAAGAGGAACCCCAAGAAGGGAATCTTAAAAAGTTCGTCGAGTTTCGACGGAAATGATTCGTTTAAAAGGTGCGTAGCGTTTAGCTAAGCCCATTCTGTCGAATGGCTATTTTAGTTTTTGTAGTGCCGTCCTGTTAAAAATCTATGGTAGGTAAATAATCAGTGCTTCCGAATCCTTGCATTTCTTGCCTTCGCTTGCTGTGCCAGGATAGGTATGTAGAATCGTAGATAGTGTGTACGTCTCTGCGAGAGTGGAAGGATAGTCCAACGATGATGTGTGTCTGATTTTGTTCCGGGTTAACGCACCTATTGTTATTTCGCTGAGAAGTTCCTGCGTGTCTTTCACGCTTCATGCGATCTGGCAAATACTGAAATAGGATTGCAGTAGCCTATTGTGACTGAAATCTAACGCAATCATGTTTGGAATTTTAGAATTTCAGTGTTATTGCTTTTCAAATTCAAATTCTAATCCAATTACTTTTATTTTTAATTTGCTTTACCAACGACATAGCTCTAGTAACTATAGCCCGCGTACGGATGCCGCAGGGCTATAGGCTCTTCTATTACGGATACACGGGACCAACTTAGTCACGCTTACTCGCGGCTATAAAACGTCTGTTGTAGGCAATTAGTGCCTCTTATCCGAAGTGAATATTTCTTAAGTTATATCCGCTACTAAAATTTAATCTCT